GGATGCAGCCGGCTCCCTGCACTGTGGTGGCTTTATTCCTCCAGGGACGTGCATCAGTCTCCTCCTGCAACACATGCAGAGGTGATATCTAAGCACGAGTTTAGGAATGCTGATTGTTGTATGATGCTGTTAGTGTAGTTGGTGCTAATGGGGAAATAATTACCACCCTGAGCCTCTCTGAGCATTTTCATTGCCCTCTTGTGGTTATGGAGTTGCTTGACTACAGATCATAATGACTTAATTCAGGAGGGCTATTATTGCCTTGACTATATACAATGGGGAAGGGTCAAAAGGAGGAGGTATTTGAGAGAGGCTGGGGGCTGAGGAATACTTTATTTTTCCTGAGATTTATTTTTTTCTTAGTAAAGGGGGTGCCTCAGGTATGAGTGTGAAACCCTAAAAGCCTTAGAGACTTGGTGATTCAAGAAACCCGCGGTCTTAGGTGTCAGTCAGTTCTGTTGGTGATTATGTGTTGAGTTCTGAAAGAAAGTTCCTGTTCTCTGGTACCACCCACTTCCTTGAATTTGAATCCCTGGGGTCATCCAGATTCCTCCATCCCTCTTACCCTCCTGGGCCCCGCCTCCATCTCTCTCAAAGCCCTCAGCTGCATCTCCCAGCATCTCCTCTGTGCTGCTGCCTCCTCTCTGACCCTGGGCACGTTCTGTGCGTGCGTCTTGCTATGAATTGCTCATCCGTATCACAGCCTTTCTAGCTTCCACTACGCTATTCTCAGAGCACTCTGACCCATCGATCATGTTGGCTCCTGATTCAAACTTCTTCATACAGGTAGCACATGACAGATACTCCAAGTCGTGAAGACACAGGATTTCTGGACACACTTAGCCACATGGTTAGGGAGGTGACAGCCAGATATCCCCTTCCATAGAAGGGCCGGTGCCGCATGCTTTCTGGTGTGAAACTTCAAATACTCCATTGAGACCTCACCCAGTGGACCAATGGAGTAAAGGAGAAGGGACTGTAGTTCATTCCTTTTCTGGCCCTGCCCAAGTCAGTTTAATTTCACATCTAGCTACTTACTGTCTTTCATGCAGTGTTGGCTAAATGAGCATGAAACATGGCATGGTCTCTGACTTTGGAATCTCAGAAGCCTTGGACAAAAATGCCTTTCTGCCTCGGTAACAAGCATATGATCACACTAAACACTGGCTGTTTTCCATCGTCTCTTTCCTCTCTGCCATCACCCACCCCTTTGGTTAATGATTACTTACCTTTCCAACATCAACCCTCTTATGGACCGAGACTGTAGGCAACCTTTGTCACCTCCCCAGAGCCCTCCCATGGTGCCTTCCCTGTGCCTCCTTTCTGTTCCCCTGGGGCCCTGCCCCCAGCCTGCCCCCAGCGCGGTCTCTTTTCTCCTCTTATTCTGTGGTGCGGGGAGGCATGGTCTCATCCTGTGTCTGTCTCTAACACAGCTGCTGATGAGGGTCTTTTGTTGTTATTTCAGTGAATGAGTAACTAAGTTAAAGTTTTTAACTGGAGACCTTGCAAGACTTTTGGCTGGTTGATTTTGTTATCCATCCATCCATCCATCCATCCATCATCCATCCATCCATCCATCCATCATCCATCCATCCATCCATCCATCATCCATCCATCCATCCATCCATCTGAAACAGGCTCTCACTATGTAGCCAAGGCTGGTTTTGAAGTTGTGGTCCCCGAGCCTTTGCTGCAGTCCCTGTTTCCAAATGTGCATCTCCATGCCCACTAGCTTCTAAATCTTTAGTTGTGTTCATGTGGGTTTTGCTATACTGCCCGCATCTCATGGCTCAACCCTTTGCCTCTTGTGAACATCCCATTCTATAGTCCTAGAGACCTTGCTCCATCTCCAGAGAAAATAGTGTCCCTGACTTTGAACCTCTTGCCTTTTCTGTCTAGGTCTGCTCTTTCATCCATTAAATGTTTTCTATAGAACAAGCCCAGGCATCCCTCTATGTGGGAGACTGCATTTCCTCTGGTCACTCATCTTAGGATATTGATTGAGCATTCGGAATCGGTCCCCGGCACTGTCTTACTCATCCAGTATTTCTCTTCACTCCCTCCCAGCCCCAGAGGCACAGAAAGACCTAGTGGGTTCAAAGGAGCAGAGTAAGAGAGGAGAACAGAGGACCGCCTCCTGTAGACCGTCCCCCTCACTACTGTATTTAAATGCCGTATAACATTAGTCAAAACTCAGCCTTCCCTCAGCTCTGTCCTCAAGTTTCCATAGTTCTCAGGGCAACATGGAAAGGCAGAAAAAACAGAAGGGAGGAACGAAGCGTAAGGAACTACCTTTCCCCTCAGGCAGCTCTGAGAACTAGAAGTTATGCATCAGGTCCACTACAGATGCTGAGGCGTGCTGCCTTAGCGGGTGTTCTTACGCGGCACCCAGGGACAGTTGCTTACAGCTTTCTCCCCTATTTGTTACCCCTCTCCTTCTTTGAGGGAAAGAAATCCCTGAGCTCTAACCTTCAGCTAAAGTCCTTGGTCTCCTCCAGCAGACGGCTGCCTCCTCTCCTCTGTGACACCTGCTGACTGAGGGCCACGAGGCCCACAGTCCATGCACTCTCGTGACTGTGAGGTAACTGGATAGTATCACTTTCTCAGAATATCTTTGCCATCACCCCGAGGAGGTGAGCCATGCTCCTCCTGGGAGCTGTCTGGGTGGTGAGATAAGATGACCACTGCATTCCATTCCAAGCCCATCATTCAATCACTCTTCCAAAAGGGACAGCTCCATGGAGCCTCTGAGGAGAGTGACGGACGAAAGCACTCAGCTCAAACAGAATTCCACACATAGCACCCATGACCTGTGTTTCCAATAATCTGTCTGGTATGTGGTGTGTCTACAACTCAGGACTTTACTTCCTGCTTCTCTTTATATTGCCCCCACCCCTGCGCTTTGGAACATAAAAAAAAAAAAAGGCATCTTGTAGGTGATGGTACAAAAACATTGTTACTAAAGATCTCTCCCGCCTGAGGCACCCCTTTGCTATAGTAGAAAGCATATATTGATGCGTGCCACTTTATTAGCTAGATTGCCTGGTACTACATCTCCTCTCACACACGTTTTTATCTGTGTAAATCTTAGACAGGTTATTTAACCTCCCTGTGCCTCAGTCTACCGATCTATGAAATGGGTGTAGCATATTAGGATGTATCACACTGTGGAGATGAAATGACTATGTCTCACTGGGGAATAGTTTCTATCAAATTATTGACACTACTGTTTGTAGGTTGCCATAGAGAGGGCATACTGTTTGTTATTGTCATAGCTCTCATCTCCATAGTGTTTCTCCTGTGTGAGAACCCCTGGTATATGTCCTCGGGTTCCTCTAAGTATTTAGACCTTGGAGAATCGTTAGTTTGGCAGAGTCCCACACCAGAAGTCGGAAGAAGTCTGGGGAATCCGAGGCTGTGCGTAGAGAGACTCCAGTGGGAACTAGGAATCAGAGCTAGGGAAGGAGGGGAAACAAGTTTGATAGGGAGAAATCCAGAATGTGGGGCACAGGAAAGAATGGCAGCGAGCTACTGAGAGGATGCTGGCACTTTGCTTTCTTCTGGCTAATGCTGTCTTTCAGGATTTTATTTCTAGGCTATTCTGAGCAGAGCAGAGTCAGATGAATTGCTGAAAAGGCTCATCACCCCCCCCCCACACACACACACACACACGCATTCTGATCAGTAATCTACCTTGGATGGAAAAAGCAAGTGTGTGCACCCTGGAATCCGAGAAGCCCTAGGTGAATTGCTGATTTTACTGTCAGCCACACGTTGCCTCTGGTCTTTTCGTTTATGACACAGGTCCTGATTGTCTCACATCTTTACCTTTTTCAGACACTTCTAAGACACACCCAACATTACATGGTGAAGCATTTACAAATTAAAAACATTATAAATGCCAGGTGGTGGTGGTGCATGCCTTTAATCCCAGCACTTGGGAGGCAGAGGCAGGTGGATCTCTGTGAGTTCCAGGTTAGCCTGGTCTACAAAGTCAGTTCCAGGCTGTTATACAGAGAAACCCTGTCTCTAAAACAAAACAAAACAAAACAAAATACATTAATGTTCCTTATGCTGACATGCACATGGTGAATTAGCTTTAAAATCATGTCCTGGGCTGGGCAGAACCTCCATTTTATATGCAGTGTGTAACACCTGAGGTTAATATCATCAGGCACTGTTTTAAAGTAGCCCCCATATTTCTTTTTTTTATGTCTAAATCCATGGTCACCTTGCCCACTTCTCACCAAGTTCCGTAACAGGAGCTGTGGAGAGAGAGAATCAGGAGAAAGTGTCAGCTAAGGGTTCTGTCTTCAAGGAAACCTGAAAAAATGAATACCCACAAAGGAATGGAAAGACTATGTAAAATATCAGACTATGGGGGCAGACAGTGTAGGTCCATGCTCACACTGTGTGCCTAATTGTCTCATTTTCCCTTTGCTTTAGTGTTCTTTTCAAACCTGGAGCGTCTCTCTTCCTTTTTTCACCCCCTGCACTGTGTGTGTGTGTGTGTGTGTGTGTGTGTGTGTGTGTGTGTGTGTGTACACTTTTCACAGCTAACTCTAAGATGAAACAATGTAGGTTACATAAATTAAGGAGTGATCCGTGGATTTACAGATGGCCACCAAGGATGTGAATCTAGAAGACTAGGGTTCTTTTTTAATCAGCAGAGCAAAATGTGCAAGTTGTGAAATTAGTAGGGCAACCAATAATGTCCCCATCCTCCAAATGACCAGACCAAGGTTCAGAGGCTATGTTATTTGAGTTGAAGACACTGTGACAGAGTGAAAAAACCAGACTTTACTGTGAATGGTATTCCCCCCCCCCCCGCCATAATGTAATTCTTGAAGCAAGAAAGATTTAATTACCGTGCTTTAGACTGAGAACAAATCTTGAGAGAAAAGAACACTTCCCCGCTTTCTCTTCGCCCCCTCCTCCCCCAGGCAGTGATTTCAGAAGCAAGCCAGTTTGCACAGGCTAATTTTACCAACAGCCCTGGGAAGTGGTCCTTGTTAGGAACATGGTCAGAAAGCAGAAGACACTGAGAGACTTCAGTCCGCTTTTGCAGGCATCTAACAGAACAGTTAGCTCATGGAAGGAGCCTGTTTCCATGGCAGGGGAGGAACTGAAGGAAAGACATCCTAGACCATGCCTCCTCAGCGCCATTTCTCAAGTTGCAGTAGCCAATTCAAAAGGTAAAGGCACTTTGTTTGGCAGTCAGCATGCAGCTGTGGGCGAGCTCTGGGGGACAAGACAAGCAAGAAACGTGCACAGGCAAATGTCCTTGAGTTCTGGAGCCTGACCCCACCCCCAACTTCTGACTTGCATCTCTCCATGTAAGCAGTGAAGCTAGACCTCTGAGGTTTCTTCTGGGCTCTGCAACTTGTTTTGTCATGGTTATTAGTCTATGAAGCTATCTTCATTTCATGAAATGGGGGTAATAATTAATTCAATCCTTGTAGGATGTTTTGAGGATAAAATGAACCAGTTTAGGTGAATACCCTTAGGTCAGTGTTCTAACCTGTTCTCTGTACTCTTGTTGTTATCATCATTACCAACTGTTTCTTTGTAACTGAAGGAGGGTAAATTATATATATATATTCTTTTTTTTTTTAAGGCAAAGAGTGTCCAAATTATCTGAGGTGTTTAACAGAATATTCTTTTCCTCTCCATTTCCTATTACCAACTTTCTAGAAATCAAAATTCCACAGGTCTAGGGTGATATACATACATATATACATACATACATGCATATGTAGTTGGAAGGTTTCTCCAGTCCTGCCTGGCCTGCAATCCCACAGCCACTTATAAAATAATTATTCAGAGGCTTAATATTATTTACAAACTCTATGGTCTAATGGCTCAGGCTTCTTGTTAGCTAGTTCTTATAATTTAATACATTTCTATTAATCTATAAGTTGCCACGTGGCCGTGGCTTACTGGTATTTTCACATCTTGCTTCTCCTGGCGGTGCTGGAGTCTCCTGACTCTACCCTTCCTCTTCCCAGCATTCTCCTAGTCTTCTCACCCCACCTGTATTTCCTGCCTGGTTACTGGTCAATCAGCATTTTATTTATCAACCAATCAGAGCAACACCTGTTCACAGCATACAGAAAGACATCGCACAGCACTTCCCCTTTTCTGTCTAATCAAAAAGGAAGATTTGAACTTTAACATAGTAAAACTACATGTAATAGAACAGTTATCAAGCAATAATTACAGTTACAATACCTAGTCTCTTTGTATTTGGCAAAATTAAAGAAAATACTCTATCATCTATCTTATACTTCTGAGTCTAAAGTTTCATATACAATTAATCTTTTGTCATAACCAAGGGAAATAATAATTATAACTATCTAGTCTTCAACTACATCAAAGACCACAGAAGGATATAATATTACCTAAGTAAACAGGAAGAGCACTGTAAGCAACTTCCAAAAATCTAGAATTTCAGAGACAGCTGGTTACCTGGACAGTCACCCAAAGTTCCTTTGCAATGTTGGGGCATCCATCTTAAGCCCACAGGCCTAGAGTCTCTCAGTCGCTTCTCTCTGTGTCCTGTAGAATGTCTGGCAGTCTTCTCTGCAAAGCAAAGTTCAGTGGTCACCTGCCTATGGGTCCTGCATGTCCAGTTTATATAACGTCCTGTCAAGAAGTCCAGGCAAGAGCAGTTTCTTGCCCAAATGGACATTTTGTGCCAAGATGAGGATAAACTCCATGTAGAATGTCTTCAATGCCCATCTTCCTCTTTGAAGTGGAAGTGGGTGCTTCGAGGAGCAGACGTGTCTCACTGTCCAAAAAAGTCTAAGTTTTTAAAACATTTTAAATGCCATATTCTGTAGGTCTTTGAAGTGTTTGAAGATTACCTACCTAACTGAAATATTCTATGTATAACTAGAAAACTTAACTAACATGACTATAAGTGTGATTATCATAGATGACTAATTATTAATCTGTATTTCTTAATTATGCATTACAATTTCAAAGGAGCTGTACAAACATAACACCTTAAACAAGAGTAGAAATATACATGGAGTATAACAAAATTAACTTCTAATTTGTATCAATAAACTAAAATCCATAGCAACGTAAAACATTTTAAACAAGTTGCTACTCTTTATCCTAACATATCTATAATACATATACTTACATTTATAATTTTTCCCAAAGGAAAATCTGAAATGCTTCCACTTACTCCACTCCTGACCTTGTAGCCCCTGGGGACCCTGACTTTCAGGAATTTTCCTGGAGACTAATGGGTATTTTTGTGTTGTGAGGATTACCAGGGCAGTGGAAGGTCAGGCAGGGCAGTGACATGTATGTTAGTTACTTTTCTATTGCTGTGATAAGACACCATGACCAAAGCAACTTATAAAAGGAGGAATTCATTTTGGGCTTAGAGTTTCAGAGGTTAAGAGTCCCTGATGGTGGAGAGGAGGCAGCAAGCAGCGGGCAGTTTGAACGGCAGCTGATAGCTTATGTCTTGAATCAGACAGAGGGCTAACTAGAAATGAAAATGTCCTTTGAAACCTCAAAGTCCCCCAACCCCCTGCAGTGACATACTTCTTCCATCAGGGTCATCCCTTTTAATCGTCCCTAAGCCCAAATAGCCACCAACTGGGGACCAAGTATTCAAATGCTCAAGACTTACGGGGAACATCTCATTGAAACAATCACAATATGATGTAAACTTCATTTCCTGTCTCCAAGAAGAGGGAGATTGAAACCAACCTAGCTTTCAGCCCAGATGTTCTTTTGTATTATATTCCAGATATAGAGTTGAACTGCCTGACAGTCCCAGGTGATATAACCAGGATGGTATTTTTTTTCTTTTTCTTTTTTCTTTTTTTTTTTTTTTGAGAGTAAACCATGTTAATTTATTGGCATAGTCAATTTATCAACAAGGGTAGTTTTGTCCCCAGGAGGTGAGGTTGATTTCAATCTGCTATAACTGGTACCCACATGTCTTCACCTTGATGATTCAGCAGTTCATGCTTCAGTCAGGGCAGGCTACTCCTTCTTCACTTTCACGATCTTTACGCTGCTGCCGGAAGTCTTCTCAGGGTTTGCTTTGAACTCCGTCTTCAGGCCATCCCTCACTGCTTTCGCACAGATCTGGGAGAACCGGATGAAGCTTAGTCCAGCCTGCCGCCATTACGCCACCATGGTGTCGTGAGCGGGGCGTATCGGGCAGAACCGCTGGGTCGCTTCAGAGTTGCCCCAGGATGGTATTTTTGAAGCCACTAAGCCCTTGCAAAGTTTAATCATATGGTGTTGCTACCACCTTTTGTCAATAATCTGTGTGGTCGTGTTTCCAGGTCCATGCATGTACGTGTAACTCATTTTTATAGCTGCATACTGCTCCATGTTTTTAAAAGAAGCTTTTTGTTACTGGAAATGCAGATGGTTTCCTGTGAGCTTTTGCAAATTTTGAGGCAATATGCTAGAGTAAAGACCTTTTACACTTTCCCACCATCTAGCATGGTCTTCTTTCCTCTTAGGGTAGAACCTCAAAGTGTAAGAGTTGGGTTGCAAGATGAACATCTTGGTAATTTCAAGAAGCATTCCTGAAGTTGTTGAAGCAGTTCATCATTGTCCTTCCACCTGTTCCCCCTGGGTATATCATGTGTACTGTGAGAAGCAGGAAAGCTGACCTAGAACATCTTCAAGTGGATGCAGCTCTGAGCACACGATGGACGATGAGGATTCATGGTTGGTGAAGTGCTTTCAATGGTATGGGTGAACTAAAACCTCATTAGACAACGTGACTGTCTTTTTTCTTAGCATCACTGTGTTTTAATGTTGGATTAACCACTCCCCACTGTACATCACTAACATCAACCTGCCTCCTATGCCCTCCTATGCTCATACCTACTCCTGTGTGGTCCCTGCTTGAGGGAGTGTGAGTGAGTCTTAAAACCTGCAAGGTTAGGTACAGGTAACTGGGTGCAGGAACTCATGCAATCCGAGGAAAAGACAACAAGAGAGATGTCGGGGAGCAGGACAGAACCCCTTTCTGTATTTTTTCCTGCTCTTCTTTGCTGACAATCATTTGCAGCATCATAGCTGCTGCTTCCCTCGCACCCCCTATAATCTCCTCCAAGCCCATCGATCCCTGTGTTGTTACACTTCCTCAGCTGTGTTATAATTCCCGATAAGTGGTGCACAATGGATGTCCCATCCCCCAAAAGCCGTCCCCAAATAAATGGCTTCAGAGTGCTTAATAATAAATCTGAGGCATCCTGAATGGATTCTACAAGCATTCTAAGTCCCCGGAACTCAGTGTGACTGTTCATCACTAGATCTATCTCTCAAATGCAGGGAGAAGATAAACAGCATTGTGAAGATGCAGATGAGGTTGGCTTTTGTGACCTGATGGTTCCCATGAAGAGAGGAATGCATTTGTTAGAACAGGAGGCGCAGACAAACCACCAGCATCAGAATTATAGGCTTCATCTTCAGCAGGCATCACTTACCAGTTTATTACCATGGAGACAAAGCCCTGTCTGTCCTCTGCATTTCCAAGTGGTTTATTAACCTTTGACTGTGCACAGAGATTGGTACATCTTCTCCACCAACTAAAAGGCACTTAAAGGAAAGAGGATGAGGAAGGGGAGGAGGAAGAAGGGAAAAAGGAGGAGGAAGGGGAGTAGGAGGAAGGGGAGGAGCAGGACACTATCAACTTTTTCGTACTGATTAAGACCAAGATTCTCTACAGCAGAAAGTGGTAAAATACGGTTTCTAGGACTTAGGCCTGTGGGGTGAATCCCAACAAGTGATTTCACTGTTCTGTGCCTCAGTTTCTTCTTTTGTGAAATGAGCTAATTGTTGGTACAGCATTTAAAAAATAGTGCTATAAACTAAGAGATAACCAAACGGGAGAGGCTGAATGGGCAGAAAGGGAATGTTGAATGAATACAGCTGATCTTATCGATCATTAAGAACTGTTGGGCAACATTAACCTAAATGGAGACAAATTCAAAGCATTTCCACTAAAATCAAGAACAAGACAAGGCTGTCTACTCTCTCATACCTAGTCAATATAGTACTAGAAGTCTTAGTCAGAGCAATAGACAACTGAAGGAGATCAAGGGGATGCAAATAGGAAGAGAAGGAGTCAAAATATCTTTATTTGCCGATTATATAATAGTATATATAAGAGACCCTAAAAATCCCACCAGGACATTCCTACAGCTGATAAACACATTCAGCAAAGTAGCAGGATACAAAATCAATTCACAAAATCAGTAGCCTTCCCATATACAAATCACAAACTGAGAATGAAATCAGGGCAACAATACTTTTTATACTAGCCTCAAAAATACCTTGGGGAAACTCTAACCAATCAAGTGAAAGACTTATATGATAAAAATTTTAAGACACATAAGAAAGACATTGAAGACAGTATCAGAAGATGGAAATGCTCATGGATCGGTAGGATTAGCATAGTTAAAATGACCATCCTACCCAGGAAAGGCGCAAAGCTACACAGAGAAACCCTGTCTCGAAAAACCAAAAAAAAAAAAAAACAAAACCAAAAAACAAAAAACAAAAATGACCATCTTACCAAAAGCAATCTATAGATTCAATATAATCCCCATCAAAATCCCAACACAATTCTTTTCAGACCTTGAAAGGACAATACCCAGCTTGGATATGGAAACATAAAACACCCAGGATAGCTCAATCAATCCAGAATGATAAAAGAACTGCTAGATAATTACCATCCCCAATCTCAAATTGTACTACAGAGCTATAGTAATAAAAACAAAATGGTATTGGCTCAAAAACAGACATGTTGGTCAATGGGATTGAAGACTAAGACATAAGTCCACACACCTATGGACATTTGATTTTGATAAAGAAGCCAGAAATACACACTGGAAAAAAGACAGCATCTTCAATAAATGGTGCTGTTCAAACTGCACGGCTACATGGAGAAGAATGAAAACAGATTAATATTTTTTATCCTGCACAAAACTCAACTCCAAATAAATCAAAGATTTCAACGTAAGACCAGATACACTGGATCAGACAGAAGAGAACACGGGCAATAGTTTGTACAGGAAAAGCCTTTCTGAACAGAGCGCCGTTAGCACAGGCGCTAAAATCAACAGTTAACAAATGGGACCTCATGAAACTGAAAAGCTACCATATGGCAAAGGACTCTGTTATTTGGACAAAGCAGTAACCTACAGAATGGGAAAATAATTTTACTAACTACACATCCAATAGATGCTTAATATCCAAAATATATAAAGAACTAAAAAAAAGTCAAGAAAACAAAAACCCAACTTAAAAACTAGGTACAGATCTAAACAGAACTCTCAAAAGAGGAAAATCAAATGTCTTTGAAACACTTAACTCCTTAGTCATCAGGGGAATGCAAATCAAAACTGCTTTTATTTTATTGAACACCAGCCAGAATGTCCAAGATCAATACAACGAATGGCAGCTCATGCTGGCATGAATGGGGAGTAAGGGAACACTCATCCATTGCTGGTGGGAGTTTAAACTTGTACAACCACTGTGGAAATCAGCATGTTGATTCCTCAGAAAGCTGGGAATACATCTACCTCAAGACCCAGCTATATCACTCTTGGACACATACTCAAAGGATATTCCATCCTACTGTAGAGACACTTGCTCAACCATGCTCATTGCTGCTCTATACATAACAGCCAGAAATTGGAAATAGTCTAGATGCCTGTCAATGAATGAATGGATAAAGAAAATGGGGTGTATTCACACAATGGAGTGTTACTCAGATGTTTAAAAAAATGAAATCATGAAATTTGCAGGTAAATGGTTGGAACTAGAAAAGTATCATACTGAATGAGGTAACCCAGATCCAGAAAGACACATGTGATACGTATTCACTTCTATGTGGATGTTAGCTGTTAAATCTTTGATAAGCAAGCTACAATCCATATAACCACTGAGATAATGTGTAAAGTCAGGGACTGTGGGGAAGGATGGATGAAGGGGAAATAGAAAAGATAGTTATGGATGGATGAAGGGGGAAAGGACTGGAAAGGGGGACCAAATGAGTGGAGTTGAAAGGGGGGGACAAGGAGGGACTACAAGAATGGACAGCTAAAATTGGGGCCATTGGAGGGGTAGTATGGAAATCTAATACAGTATAAGCTTCCTAAAATATATACATATATGAAGTGATCTAAATGAAACCGCCAAATAACAGGGTGACAGAGCCCCAACTGGTCATCTCTCATCACCAAACGAGGCTTCCAGTGCCAGGAATGGGTTGCATCCAATCAAGTTGTTAGCCAAAGGAGTCCCGCAGGAACCCCCAAACAACCCAGGCTATTCCAAGGCTATTGTTTGCTCTCTACAAACTGGTGGTAAGGCCCTATTGCTGAAGACAACACCTCCACAACTGACTGAACACAGAGGAATTAAGCTGGTGCCTCGCTAGAGCCTTCAGCCCTACAAACTAGTGTTCACAGTGACGGAAGGTACTCTCTCTGCATGCTGCCAAAGGAGAAGGGTAAACAGCAACTCAGCTACAAACCCTTTCATCTGTAATGGTGACCTTCCCATGAGATGCTCTAGTGTAACAGTTCTCAACCTGTGGGTCGCAACCTCTTTTGGGGGTCAAAAGATCCTTTCACAGGGGTCACCTAAGACCATTGGAAAACACAGATATTTACATTACAATTCTTAACAGTAGGAAAATTATGGTTATGAAGTAGCAATGAAAATAATTGTATGCTTGGGGGTCACCTCAACATGAGAAACTAGTTGTAGTAAAAGATCACAGTGACAGGTAGGTTGAGAACCACCGTCCTAGTGCATAGTGGCCGAAAGCTTGTGGTTGTAATCAACCAATATCTGATTGGATTTAAGACTCATTCCATGATATGGCACTCACCCCTGATACTGCTTTGGTGGTCAAGAACCTGAGACCGGATAAGCCACGGACCTAGTGAAAACCAGATACTACTGTTCTGCTAAGGGAACATAGCCATATAATAACTCTAAATGACATTCTGCTATCCTAGATCAGCGCCTTGCTCAGCCATTATCAGAGAAGTTTCCCCTGCAGCAGATGGGAACAAAAACAGAGATCAGAGCTGGACAATGTGTAGAGAGTGAGAGACCTAGGAATGATCAGTTCTAAATGGGATATCTCCATCAAACCCACCCCCTCCCTGACCCAGGGCTCAGGGAACCAAGTGGAAGAGGAAGCAGAAAGATCGTAAGAGCCAGAGGGGATGGAGGACACCAAGAAAATAAGGCCCTCAAAACACAGCAGGACCAAAGCACTTGTGAACTCACAGAGACTGTGGCAGCATGCTGTGAAGGCCTGCACAGGTCTACACCAGATGAGGTCCCAGTTCTGAGAGAAGTGGACACATGTACCCATCTCTAACCTGAAAGCCGTCTCCAATCGATAACCCCACTCACAAATGAAAACTTGGTGCTCTCTAATGGAGTCTCACTGGGGATACAAACTGCTCTTAAGACCAGGCCCCGTGCCCAGCAGTAGACGGCCAACACAAAACAAACTTCGTGGCATCTTTTGGGGGGGGGGGTCTTTGTCTCATAAGGTTTTGTCAGAGAGCTTTTTTTTTTATACCCTATAGGTCCTTTGTGTGTATGTTATATGACTTCCAGTTTTTTTGTTGTTGTTGTTGTTTTTTTTTGTTTTTTGTTTTTTGTTTTTTGTTTTTCGAGACAGGGTTTCTCTGTGTAGCTTTGCACCTCTCCTGGAACTCACTTGGTAGCCCAGGCTGGCCTCGAACTCACAGAGATCCGCCTGGCTCTGCCTCCCGAGTGCTGGGATTAAAGGCGTGCGCCACCACCACCCGGCTGACTTCCAGTTTTATGTTTTTAAGGGATTCCTGTGTGGACGAACATTTGTGTCTCTGCACCTGTATGCGTTTCTTCCACTTTTGCTTTGGTTCTCCTGTCTTTTTGCTTTGTCCTATTTGAATCTGTTTTTACTTTTATCTTATTTATATGGTGTTCTTTAGCTGCCTGTTTGTTTTCTGAGGAAAGACAGAAAGGGTATGGATTCTGATGGGAGGATGTAGGAGGAGTTTCAGGAGGGAAAACCATAATCAGAACATATTGTATGAAAAAAGTTATTTTCAATAAAAGAAAAATTGAAAAAGAAACTCTGTTGGGTTGGTGAAATATACGCTGAAATCCTCCTCGGGTGGCTTAGGGATCCTGAAGAAGGGGCAGAAAGTGTCAGAGCCAGAGGCCATGGATGACGACAGGGAACTCTCTTCTGGACACAGAAGGCAAACTGTGTGTATGAACTCACAGTGGCTGTGACAATGAGCATAAGGCCTATGGAAGTCATAGCAGGTCCAAATCCCAGCACGGAGAGGGATGTGGGCACAGTATCCCACCCCTAGCCGAGGAACTGTTGGCAATTGTCAGCTTCAGGAGAGGGAGGGTCAGTTTTCTCTAAGACTGTAGCCTCTGGTGAGTTGACCATACTTCAGTGAAAGGCTACACATCCAAGACTACTTGGGCACTACAAATTGGCCTGAATGGGATGTCCTGAGGGATTGGCCTCTGATCCAGGCGTCTGCTATTTTGAGGAGTTCCGCCGTAACTCTTGCAAAAGCTCATCCCGCCTGGGCTGGTTGATGGTTACATCTGAGCAGAGGGGTGGAGTAGGTCATGAGAGTCTTCCCTGAGTATCTAGTGGCTCTTTCCCACTTGGAAACTCTGCATGGGGCCTGGGGGAGGGAATAGAGTATATTGAGTCTGGGAGAGACTAGAGCCGGGGCTTCGTCTATGTGGCAACAGGGAAGTCCTCAGACCTGCTGCTAAGGCTTTCAGGTGCAGCCAGTTGAGGGAGGAACACCCACATCCTGTAAGTAACCCCTCACCTATGCCCTGTCGGAAAGCCCAATACATTCCGTGGTTCCTCAGAGGAAACTCCTGTGGAATCGGGTCTCGGTTTGTCCCTTTGGGACCTCAGGAGAAGGGGTAGATGTTGCTGTGTCTGGGAAGAAATTTTAGCAACATGGGGTATAGGATGGTGAATATGGTCCAAAACTATACAAAATTCTCCAAGAACTGCTACAAGTATTTAAAGCCAGCTGCTGAGTTGGATGTCATTTTAGGTTAACACTTCTTGATGTCAAATGGTAAAACCAGTACAGGGTAATATTTTTTTCATGGGCTTTGGTGATAGATTGACCCGAGTTCACATCCTTTCTCAGCCTATTAGGCCACACTGTACACTTCCAATATGTTGCAACTAGCAATACTTGTGCTCCACCTAAACTATGGGCCTTGAACTATTAACCAGTGGATTAGTTCTTAACAAACTGCCTCAACCTTGACACCCAAAAATGGCAGAAATGTCACACCTTTCCAGAGGCTGGAAGTCTGAAGATAGTGTCCACAGACCACGCTCCCTGCAGAAGCTCAGGATGAGGAAGAAGGAGTTCCCACCCAGCTTCTGGAAGATGCTAGGATTCCTTGGCGTTCCTTGGCTTGTGTCTACAATCCTTCCACTGTTTGCCTCTGACCTCATATTGACATCTTCTCTG